ATGCGATATGTAACATTGAGAAATATACTGTGCGCAAAGTAACGCAGACAAGACAAAATCGAGCTGTACCTAGTTGTAAAAACATTAATTAAACTCATACAAAGAATATTCCGTATTATAAAGATACTCCACATTTGCCTTAAGCAACGTGAGGGACCATAAAAACATGCACAAAGATATGAGCATTTTTTACAAAGTAGTACAAAGAATATTCCGTATTATAAAAATACTCCACATTTGCCTTAAGCAACGTGAGGGACCATAAAAACATGCACAAAAATATGAGCATTTTTTACATTTTATGATATGCACATATTTCCCCCTTAGCTATAATGCAGGGCATGCATAACTTTCGATGACCCCGTAGGCAAGTTGCGGAATCTTCAGAAATTTCTGAAGAGGCGGTCCGATACGAAACCGTATAAATACAGGGCTAAAAGCGGTGATGTTCTTTCAAGAATGTCCTCAACAGCCGACATCCGTGCTGCCCTAGACGAGCTTGATAGCTGTGATGTATTTTGGTTCACTGGTTCATTTCCTAACGCCCCGCCTGGACGCCATCGACAGTCGTCTGCGTCGCCCGGACGCCGTGGAATCAGCCTCCAGATGCTGCTTGATCGCACTCAACCCAGGTCGAACTGTGCATTCCGCACATTCGACGAGAATCGCGATCAGCACTCGGGGCGCTGTACCCACTTCCATGATCCCGTCTCCCGCACAGTCTGAGCCACAATCTTGGACTGTGCTCGAAATGCCTCAAGCCAGTGCATGAGGATATATGCGAATTTACCTGCAGCGGTTGTGGTCTCGGCCATAATTCGGTGTTGTGTAATCGCAGAAGGCCTCAACCGCACGAGCAGAAGAGGCCTCGGAACTGACAAGTCGCCAACGCCAGGCTCCAGCCATCCACACCAAACCACCAGCCATCCACGTCAAGCCACCAACCGACCATCAAGCCACCAGAGGAACCGTTAAGCCACCGCAACATCTTCCACGCCTGCCACTTCCTACAAAGGAGTCGACTGAAGACCATATTTTATGTACATTGCAGTTTTGCCGTATTTACGTATTTAATTTGTAGCCTCCCTTGCTCCCCGGAGTATCATCGGCGACGATGATGTCTTTTTAGGGGGGGGGGGGTCACGTTGTCTTTTCATTGGCGATATTCGCCCCAATAAACGCTCGCTCCCCAACTGTCTGTTTTGCCTCGAAATCACTAAATCACCAAAAGTAAGTCTAAGTTGGGTAAAAATCAAGAATCCCTCCCATTATGACCCAATACGTTTGAAGAGAACGAGTAGCGGGAGTAGGCCGATTTGCACCGACTCTAAAGCCGTCAGAAATTTTCCGCACAAGACCATCGCCGCGCACACACGCTCTGCGGCGACTTTTGCGTAAGAAAAATAAAGGAGGAGGGAAGATTAGCCGCGCGTATGGCGTGTTAAGTTATTAACACATCATTCATTATAACACACATTCACTCTGCCATTCCGGACAATACGACCCACCGAGGCTCGTATTGTCCGAAATGGCAGAGTCGGGTTTATGGGTCCTAGGTCGTAAGATTCCTGAAGCTCTAGCTTTGCCAGTTCACGATGTAATCTTACGGGTTTCCGGCACATGATTGAGGACACTTAGCGAAGCACCAGCCAAGTGGTCCAGGGTCGGGATACTGTAATGTATTACAGTGCTGGCCATAGCTATAAAGCCACCCTAAAAATCACCGTAATTTGCTCTCTCTTGCTCATATTTGTCTGAAAAACCACTATTCTGTGCGCAAACTAACGTCATACCATTGACCAGAACGGCTCCTGATTTCATGGATTTTGGCCGGAGAAAAATTGAAAATTTGAAAAAACGGGTTTCGAAGGCTGGTCACAGCTATAAAGCCACCTCTCATTTTCGATCAGTACTGCGTTCTTTGAACCTCAAAATTTTTGTACATATAGAACATCAAAACATAAAACATTTGTTACACTTGGAAGGGGTCGCCTTTCAAAAAGAAGATTCGTGCTGCATTTTTTGCTCTAAAATGCATAATAGGTCACATCATTTGCAAAAAACTGCTTTTTCACTGAATTTTGAAGCACTTGTTTGACTCGGATGAAGGCCCTATGCTTTGCCGAGCCTTTGCAATGAATATGGCGAAAAGCGCTTGAGTTAACATTGCGTAGTCGCTGATATTGATAAACGAGCTTCAACCTCACCTCCAGGTAGACGAGTTTTCGAGCCGCAGAAATTGAGTTCTAATGCCCGAAAAGCTCTGTCGCGTGCTCAACACGTCGCTTGTATAACGACAGACTCGTGTGCATAGCCTGTACGTCATCGCAACTCTGAGGACTCTGGTTCCGCTTTGGACGCCTTTTTTCCAAAAATGAGTGGTGCACTCCGTCTGATCATGACCCACTCTAACCACCTTGATCGAGAGGAAAACCGCTCAGAAGTTCAAAATCCTTCTATTCCTGACAGTTTAGTAAGATTTGAATTGATGAGAAGTTCAAAGCAGTGAAATTTGAAGTCTTGTGAGGTACACTGCGCACAACCGAACTGCAGACAAAGCGTTCTAACTTCATTGCGGCAAATAGGTCTTTGTAAAAAAAACCGGCGGCTCCTGCATGAGTACGTCGCCATGCAGACAAGGTGTCAACTTCCAACCAAAAGTTTTCGCGTGTCAGAAATCTAGTTTTGCGCCTCAGAAGCGCGCTTACACCTCGGTAAGATGAGGCTCGTTTACCAAGATTAGCGACTACGCAATGTTGAGTTCAGCACTTTCCACCTCGTTCATTGCAAAGGCTAAGCAAATCCTAGAACGTTCATCCGAGTCAAACAAGTGCTTCAAAATTTAGTGAAAAAGCAGTTTTTTGCAAATAATGTGAGTTATTATGCAATTTAGAGCAAAAAATGCAGTACGAATCTTCTTTTTAGAAGACGACTCCTTTCAAGTGTAAAAATGTTTCATATTTTGATGTTGTATATGTACAAAAAATTTGAGATTCAAAAGACGTAGTACTGATTGAAAATGAGAGGTGGCTTTATAGCTGTGACCAGCCTTCGAAACCCGTTTTTTCAAATTTCTAAAGTTTTCTCCGGCCAAAATCCATAAAATTGGGAGCCGTTTTGGTCAATGATATGACGTTAGTTTGCGCACAAAATAGTGGTTTTTCAGACAATTATGAGCAAGAGAGAGCAAATTACGGTGATTTTTAGGGTGGCTTTATAGCTATGGCCAGCACTGTATAATATTACGGTAGATATACCGTAGAAGACAATGCAGAGACTTTAGCTCAAATTCTTCGCAGGATAATGCTTTCTTTGAACATTCAAGTGTACATGCACGAGAATTACGAGGGGGGGGGGGGGTGGAGGCAAGAGACTGATGTTAGCCCATCAAAAAAGATTGGTTTTATTGGATTTATTGATTTTTTGCATTGTTTATCCAGGTAGGTGAAAGCTTATATATGAAGGTATGTAGCATGCCGATTACGAAAATATCAGTCTCAAGTTTTGATACCGCTTTCTTACATCCATTTTTTGATTTTTACGAAAATTTCACCGTGTTGCTGCCGTAGCCCCACTGTAGACAATAGTGAATAAAATGGATACAATAGTCGTGATCAGCACGTGAGTAACCTCAAAACACAGTTTTTTTATGAAAATCCATAACGTTGGGTTTCTATAGATTGACTTCAGTAGCCTTACAGTATAATGCCAAAAACGAATTAAATCATATTTTGATATCTAGAGTCTTCGATAACTCCTCTAGGCATATTTCTGGAAACTTTTTTTGAACTTTTTTCAAAAAGACCACCATTTCGGACAATTCGACCCACAGATGAGTAAGTTTGACACAGCGAAAAGGGCTCTGGTCCGAAACGGCAGTGATCGAAAAATCGGCTTTGTCGTGAATGTGTTGAGGTGGCTGCTAATTGAACTGACTGCCATGCGAAAAGGCGGCTTTCCCGGAAGCGGCGTAGCGGTGTAAAGCTCCGCTTTGAATAAGTATGGTCTACGTTCAATCTCCATCCTCAGGCCAACCAAACGCTTTACTTTCCGGCAGGCAAATTGGCACCAATCCAGTAGAGCAAGGCACTGTTTGATAACCGAAATCAAGAATTACAATTTTTAACAAGTCTGCGGAAAAAGTGAGTCAAGAAATACGATCAAACGAGTTTTGATGAAATTTATGAGAAAGCTGAATAGATCTGGGTCGGCGGTAATTTGGTCAAAATTCTAAGTTAAAATCTCTACGTTAACAGAGAGATTACTCTGGGCTTTGTTTTTAAAATTTAGAGTCCTGCTTATTGAAACTCTAAGTCATTTATAAAGTTCAGAGTTCCAACTCTCATGTTCGCATTTTCGACTTACTGTCTGAGGGGTTGTCGTGCATGTTACTGCAAAAGCGACGTCTGAGTTGAGACTCTAAAGATTAAAAAGTGGTTTGCAATGCACAAGTGATATGGCTCCAAATTTGGTGTGTAAATGAGTAGTAGTAGAAACGATGTTTGATTATGTGAAGAACTTCTTTGACAGAAGGATGTGTCCATTTTTTTCGAGTTAGGATGGCATGTGCCATCTTAATGCAACCCTGAGGGTGGCAAAACATTCAGTTTGCATAATTACATGTTTTATACATAATTGTTCTGCACCAAAAGTTTACTATATAGTTACATTTCAGTTTCAGAACTCCTGTATTATTGTTAGGATCCGAAATAGCAACGAGGCGATAACCTTGAAGGATAAGCGGACATTAAACAAAACTTGTAGCTGGCGTGATGGAGTGGTTAACGTAAAAGTCGTAATAAGTGGCAAAGACGATTTCTACAGGGGTGTCGACTTGCCATCCTTCCGAGCCATGTTAGGGAAGTCGTCACTGGGGAACTTCTCTACTTTGCTGAACTGAACTTTATATTTTACTGCTGAATTTTCTTTCACAATGTCTTTTTCATCCTCTTTGGCTCAACATGGTGTCTTTGACGTGGAGGACACTGACTAATGCCTTTCAATATAAAAATATTTACTACTATCACAGAAAAATTCAAATTAATGTTTACGATAGAAGTTTGTGACTTTTCCTTTTTCAGACTGCCTTTCTGCTTTGTTTTTGTTATGGCTCCACATTCACACTAAAATGACTTCTATCTAATGAGTCATTTCTCTTGCAAATATTTCATAGTACGTTTCAGTTGCGGAGAGAATAGCCTCTCCAGAACCTTTCAACACAGTGGGCTCTGTCTCTTTTAGTGTTGGTAACAACTCGGGCATCTCGATCGCGCACTCCTTGTCTTGATCTTCCTTGTGATCTTCTCCATCTGGATGTTCTTCTTGGATATTCCAAGCTGTTTCACCCTTGAAAATTGTAATAAAGGAGAAATTGCATCAATCAAGGTAGCCCTTACCTCATAAAACTCATCTCCCCATTCGGCAAGGAGCAATGCTTTTTTATGCTGCAGCGACCGCTGATCTGCTGCAATTTTCCTTCTGTTGGCGAAAAAACTCATCACTCCTACCACACCGAGCAGAAATACCATAGTTACCACCAGTGTCGGCACCATGACAAGTTTACTCTGGTACACTTCATTTTGGGGGTTTGTCATGCGCTCGACTGCTATAGTAGCAGACCTTGAGTGCTTTCTCGATTAATTTTAAGGATTTGTATCGTGACCGATCCGAAAGGAAAAATACTGGTCCCCAAGCCATTGCAACAGCTTCCATTAACATCACTATTTCCACTTCGTCAGTTACTAAACAGTTCAATATTCATTATGTAGGATCGTGATAGAGCAGTCAAAATTTGAGATTTTTCTTTGATGCAGCACTTTATGACAGATTTTCATGAAGGACTCGCACACCGCTTAACTTAGGAAATCTAGAAATAGGGTACCTGCGGTACCTGCTTTACGAAAACAATGTCTTTTCGAAAAACCCGACCTTTAGAAGAGCTTTGTTACGATATTGCTTGCAAACTTAGCGCATGAACTGTAGCTCAATGCAAAAATTTGGCCACTTTCGAGTATCCAACTTTCTTGTTTACATCACAACGATGGTAATCTTGTCTTCAACAGTTAGTTACAAAATATCTCTTTCATTGTGATTAAGAATGGCAAAAGACCTTACAATTTTCGTTTAGAGGAACGAGTATGTCGGCACGTGGGGTTATGATGTGGCCAAGCCATCTGTTTTTGAACTTCTTCATATGAAACATTAACGCATCAATATTACACGAGTCTTCAAGCTGAAAGGAGCGCACAATGAAACGAAATTTAGAGGGCGTTAGGATTACCTCAGCAGCTTTTGTCACAGTCACTGTGAGATGCAATTTGCTGGCTTTTTCTACAATCTGAATAATGTGAGTAGATGAAGCGAGCCAGCTTTTTCTAAGTTTTCCAAAGCCTGTTTATTTGTCATTGTACAGGCTATCTCTGATAGATGTGGACAGTGTGGATTGTTGATTCCTAATTGCTACACTGTTTTTCATCTATCTCTAGACATTCAATAAAGCTGGCTTCAATTTTGTTTTACAGCATGAAGCAAATTACCCCCTTCTTTAACATAGGATGACTGCAGAAAGTTCGAAAAAATAGATATGTCGCCGAAAGGGATAATCCCTCGCCAACTCTGCAGCTAGGCACGCAACTTTGCACGTTACAGACATTGTAGCTTTCTGCCAGTTGTCCGCGCGGAGTGGCTTGCCAAGCCCACAAATGTCTTCTCAGTCAGCATCTTTTTCATCTTTCCCGTTTTTAAAGGTTCTTGCCTCGTACGATATTTACATTGTACAGCGTCCTGGCACTTGTAAATTGAAATGTTGCGAAGGGAATTGAAGGTGCAGGGTTTGGGGTTCACTTGAAAAGGCGCATGATGCGCACATGATGGAAAGCAGAAACTCTGAACCTAAACATCATCAACCAGATAGAGCTAGACCGCGCCGTAGTCTTGAAGCAGAGTCCAGGCTAAGCTAAGTACATGTTATTTTATTTTCATAAAAAAGTGAACACTCAGACACGTTATCGTGCAAGTGCGAAGTCATAAAGCTATAACAGAAGCGAGATGTCTACTCGAGAATCCAAGTAAAAACCCCGCGCAACTGTAGTTTTCAAATCGCAGGCCAGGGTGCGCATACCGTTACACTCAATATCGAAGGATTCTGTAGCGAATATGAGCGTTGGCTGAAACTACACTTATCGAATTTTAAAATAAAAAAGGCTTTGGTTCAAGCTTTCTAGAACGAATTTCTGGATTCACCTTCGCGAAAAGCCCAGGTAGGAAAAGCTAAAAAGTAGATTTTTGCTCGGATACTGCCTTTAACGCCTTGGCGGCGTATGGCCGACCTGAGGAACTTCTGAAAGTGAGGTGAGCAAGAGAAGAGTGCGTATGAGCGCAAGGATGAAAGTTTTGCAGTGAATGGACCTATTGTTAGTCAATGAGAGGGACTCAGCAGTAACATCCAGAAGTTTGATATGCTATCACATGGGTAGATGTATCTAGTGTTATTTTGTAGTGAATCGTAGTGGAATTCCTGTCTCATGCACTTGCGGCGGCGGCGCCCTCGACAATCGTGGAAGATTATGTCTCTACAGTATAAAGTGGAGACGATCCCAATTATAATCTGTGTCAACCACGTGCTCCGTTTTTCGCAGCAACTAATCCGCAGCACAGGCATCGCGCAGCGATCTCCAATCGATGCGACAAATACTGCGCTCGCAGCGCCCGAGCAGGTCAGCAAACCATGATTTTCTGTCTTTATTGATTTATCACGTTAAACAAAGATACGGAATTGGGAAGCTGCTACCGTATTGCTTGAAAATCTCATAATTTCCCCACTTTTGCCAAACTCTGCCTACATGTTATAACGCGGCACTGGGCTCTGGCGTTGCGTCTGAGCTGATTGGAAAGGAGCAAATGACACAGACTGTGTGCATAATATCGCCGTCACTTCATTCAATCGTGACTCTATTAGCCTATACTCAGATTTTTCTCTCAGTTTGTCAAAGTTCCGAATACCCACCTCATTACGACTGCAGATATCATGGACTTCGACACCAGCAGGCAAAACTGACATATTAATGCCCCATTTCTCTATTTTTTCATATCCTCCCTTCAGTGTGCTTAAATAGCAAACAATCATCTTGGCGAGTGGCTTGTACTCTTCGTCATAATAAACATAAAATTCTTTCGCCTCGTATCCACCTAGAGGTGAATACATGATCTGTAATATCTGTAATGTATGTTCATAGTCATGAGAATTCTAAATGAAACCTGTGGATGAAACATACATCACTGCATTCAGCTGATCCCTGGCCAGTATCTGATTTCTGGCCATCTATACGCCGCCGAACGTCATCTGGATAGTCAGTATCTGATTCCTGGCCATCTATACGCCACCGAACGTCATCTGGATAATCTTGTGTATTTGTATCAAAGGTGACTGACTCGTCATCGCTCTTGTTCGCATTTGCAGGACTAGTGAAACTCGGGACACTATTTACACTATAGTTGGATGGACTTCCAGAGACCGCATTCTGTCTGATTAACATGTAATAAGCGAAGGATAGGACATAGGAGTTCAACCACATCAAAGTCACTTGAATCAAGAATGAACTGCATCGACGGATTATGACTACTGTTTACATTTATCAACCATCAATCGAGTATGACGCTAAAAACACTCCATGATTCATTGCAAGTGTTATCCTTAACGAACCGCAGAATAGGGCTTTTTCCAGCGGTTTAGAAGCTGTTACTTGAGTGTTTTTGACACTCAAAAATGGAATAAGCATTTGCATGTAGCTGAATTAAAACACGGTAACCTAAACTAAGCTATTCTCGATTCATCGATCCCACTGACCGGCAGTGTCTGCGGCGGCTGTGGCGCCGGTAAATCAGGACAAGCGTTGTGGCACGCCACACCTGGCTGTCGTATCGGAAGCGAATAATGAGTCATTCTCGGAATTAGCTGTCAAATAATAATCCTGTAGATCAACTTTTATTATTTCTGAGGTTTCAAATATTGAGTCACAAAATTGAAATAGTCATTTTCAAACACAATTAACGTTGTTCTAGAGGTAAGTTCTCTACCTCTTCTTTCAAATACGGATCAGTAGTCATTCTTCGCCAGTGTGAGAGATTCCAATCCAATTAGCGCCAAACTATCAATCAAGAGTCAGTTAAAAACTTGTTCGTCTCATTTTCGTTCTCAAAAATAGTGTCCAGCAGCGGTAACTCGTGTTATAGAAGAGTAGGAAAATCAATTTTGTGAAAACCATGGATCTAAGCTATCGATTCTATATATCTTTGTCACCTTCCCTTGCAATATACGTAGTGCACGCCTAGCACATATACCGTAACCCGATATTTGCTATGAAAGGATTGGAGAAATGTCTATATCTTCTTATAGACGAAATAGATATCGATAGATCGAATAATCATTTAATTCGGTCCCAAGTGTAGTACGCATGACAGACATCATCGATGGCGGCGCTAGCTTCGGCGATATACCCTAATTTCGAACGTGAGGTGCACCTTTTTCAATTTTCAAAGCGACCGCTCAGCCGCTACACTGCATTTCGGAAACATCTTTAGGCCGCAGGATTCTCTTTAGCAATGTACGGCATGGTCGGGTCCTTTAGTTGCGAAGTCCTTTGGCGTGTTTGGGCTGGTCGATTTCGGAAAACAATCCCTAGCGCTTTGTACGCGTGATATTGGATTCTTGATATTGGATTCGTGATTCTGTTAAGAATGACGTATAGAGTCTGTAGCTGCTGACAATAGAAACAGATAGGGCGATAGTTCCCAAGTGTAGGAATGCCAGTTCTTGTACAGCAACACGGTCTTGACGGTCTTCTACTGTCTTGGTGCCTTCCGCCAAGTACCGTAAGGTTTTGCCAAAGTCTTGTTCTAGCGCAAGATCCTTCAGGTGTTTTGACACAATCCTATTAGGTCCGCGCGCATTACGTTTTTTCCTCGACATTGTAGCATGACTCATCTCGAAAGAAAGAACAGAAGTGCGACATAATCGACCTCTCTGAGGGGACTTTGAGGCAGTCATGGATGTTGAACATGCCTTCTTTAGTTTTATCGCTTCTAGATATCTCTTGGCAAGCGCGGGTGATTGCCTGTGGCTCGTGCTGTCCAACTGAACAGCCCCAAAATTTCGTATAAAATACGTCTTTTCGTTATTCTTGGATTTTCGGCTTCCTTAGCGCATCTGTGGATGCGCTCATATTCTTCGTCGATATCGTCGAAAAAGAGTTCTCGCCATAAACAGGGCATCGAAGAGATCCCAGTTGATGTTGTAGGATGTTGTTTTCTGAATTTGACAGCTCTCTTTCCATTTCGTGAGAAGTTGAAATTTACACGTAGAAGGCGGCAATCCCATGTAGAACTACTGATGTGGACAATCTCGTCGTTACTCTCCACCGGCTGATGTGAAGATCCAGCGTCGAGCAAGGAGAGGGTTTCTGAAACTGCGAGTGTCCATAGATGATACTGTCGCCATAGGAGAGTCGGGCAGTCTCACCCTTTCCTAGTTACACTGTAGTTCATAATCTCGACGTTAAGTTCCGCAAGCGATTTTCTAGTTTCAACTTTCACCTTTTTCACCACGATGACCATTTAGAATGAGTGGACTTCTGTAGAACCTGTTCAGATCGTTACAAAAAATCTCTAGTCGACTTCGTTGCAGCTTAATCTTGGAGCGTATGCACAAAAGAAGTTGGTTTGGTTCGCTGTTGATAGCCAAAAAAGTCCAATTCAAGGGGTTTTTTTTCTGAAAGAATCTATGTTTTTGGCCAAACTCATTTTGACAAAAATTCGAACGCCTCTACTGTTGCATGTGCTTATTATTAGAAGCACAACTTTGTAAAATGTTCAGTTCAACTTTGTAAAATGGTGCTGTTTTATGTGTTGGTCTTCCAAGGATAAGAAAGAATATTTTTGGTGTTTAACGGCTGAACTCATTGGAGTTAGGTTATTGGGCAAAATTCCCTGCAAGATGGTCGGAGCTTAAATGCAATGTCAAAGCGAAATTCGGTTTCTAGCAAATTTGCTTACGGGGTTGTTCCAACGCTGAAATCAAAAGTCCACCTTAGAAGGCGCGAAAACGGTGAGAATACGCGTTCGCAAGCCTTTGAATTTGAGTTTGGGCCGTTCTCGTTGAGGATGGTAAGCAGAGTCGATGCAGAACCCTACGACTTCACACATTCACGACAGTACACCGGTGAGTCGTAAAACTTCTGAAGCTTTAGCTTTGCCAGTTTGGGTTTTTACGAGATCCTGGCACATGATTGGGGACACCTAGGCGAAGCTCCAGTCAGGGTGTTCCGAGCTCGGAATATTGTAGTAGAGTTACAGTAGGTATACCGTAGATAGATATAAGGCGCAGACATTATTCTCATCTTCTTCGCTTTTACAAAAATACTACCGTACTGCTACCGTAGCCCCATTGTGGGGAAGTAGTGAACACTTGGACCTCATGATCGTGATCAGCGCGTGAAATAACCCCAAAACACAATTTTTTTTACGAAATTGCATGAAGTTGGGTTCGTATAGAATGACTACCACTATAATGAATTAAGATCGGTGTACATTGGTCGTTGTTGCCACGCGGGTCTTTAGAGCGACGGAGTTGTGCACGAGGAGATTACTTTAAACTTGGGTAATTAAACCTTTATTAACAATTATAAAATACAAATAAACGATATTGCAAGCGAAAGATAATACCAGCTTAATATGAGATTCTGATTGTGGCAAAACGCTAGTGATAAAATGCTTGACATGTTCTAGTCTAAATGAACTGAAAGTCAATGTGGCAATGATACTGAGTAGGTCTAGACAGCAGGGCTAGCTGTATGAAGCAAACGATGAACAGTGACGCGCAGTTCACCTAAGGAGGAGATTACCAGCTATGAATTTTTGGCTCCTTTTCCATACATGCAGCTGCAGTCTAAAGCATGCAAAAAAAACTGGCTGCTGCGCTTGACAACTTATATTGCAAGTAAAGTAGATAGAATATACGAATCTTATATATAAAGCTGAATGTCTGTTTGTATGTATGTCTGTCTGTCTGTCTGTCTGTATGTCTGTCTGTGTGTACGTATGTTCCGAATAGAAAACTCCATTTCTGAACCGATCGGGACCAAACTTGGCACACATACACTTCGGGCCCCGGCGGGTGTCATAGGCTACTTCTCGTATCGATCAATATCGATTTTATCGATTTTTTGCAAAATTTGAGCTACGGGGCTGGGAGTTGGCACAGGGGGGTAAGTGAGCATGGGGATTCCGACTACAATATTAGTTTTTAAATCGTGCATTACTTTTATCGATTTTATCGATTTTTTTTTGCAAAGTTTGAGCTACGGGGCTGGGATTTGGCACAGGGGGGGGGGGTAATCGAGCATGCTGATCACCCCCGTGGGGGTGATCAGCATGCTCGATTACACCCCCCCCCCCTGCCAAATTCCAGCCCCCTAGCTCAAATTTTGCAAAAAAATCGATAAAATCGATAAAAGTAATGCACGGTTTCGAAAACTAATATTGTATTCGTGATCAGCATGCTCGATTACCCCTCTGTGCCAAATCCCAGCCTCCTAGCTCAAATTTTGCAAAAAATCGATAAAATCGACATCAATCGATAACGAAAAGTGGACTGTGACACCCGCCGGGGCCCGAAGTGTATGTGTGCCAAGTTTGGTCCGGATTGGTTAAGAAATGGAATTTTCTATTTGGAACATACGGCGGAGCCGGGTAAGCCAGCTAGTTATATAATAAAGTCGAGTTTGTCAACAAGCGCCACCTCACCGTAAAATCCCAAAAACTGAAACAAATCATATTATAAAGATAAGCGTCTTCGATAACTCTTCTAGGGAAAGAAGACTTGTTCTGATTTAACCAAAAAATTACCGTTTAGGGCCACAATGGGTCGTATTGTTCGAAACTATAGTATTTTGCTCTGGTCTGAAACGGAACTAATCTAGAAATCGATATTGTCGTGAATGTGTTAATGGCCGTATAGTACTGTGCCGCAAAGTACAAGATCCACAAGTGCTTAAACAATCGCAAAATACTTCCGGGAGAACTGAACTTCAGAACTTCCGGGCGGACGCTCCTATTGGGCCTTGGGTGGGCCCCGCCTTACCTGGCCGCTCCCTACCTGCCAGCTCCAGTGGGAGTTCTCCCCGGAAGTTCTAAAACTTCAGCTTTCTCCGGAAGTACTTTTGCGATTGTCTGAGTGGAGCCCGCTAACACGGCGTATGCTTCCCAACTTTCTGAACTGGGAGCCCACGTTCGCATGGCATTATCCCAGAATCCTCAATCTTGTCCGAACTGCCTTCTGTAAAAAATGACTCCGAACTTCTTCCGCACGCTGCTCGAGAGTTAAAGAAAGCTTTTCATACTATGTAGCCCGCACATCAATAATCTCAACGAAGCTGATTTCAAGCTTTTGTGACTATCGCGTAGGAAATGAAAAAAATGAGGAAATGAGGAAATCGGTACCTAATTAAATGGTCCAAGGCTCATTTTACTGCAACGGCACCTAATCGACAAGCTCCAAAAGCGCTCATGGGCATTCTGTCGTCAAGAA